CATAGACAAGACGGAGGTTATGAAAATAACCAACCAACAACAACAACAGCAGCAGCAACATCCAGCGCCAATCACCATCAACTGGGGGGATTTGAAAGAGGTTGCTTCATTCACTTATCTAGGGAGCATTGTCTCAACTACAGGAGGAATGGACGAGGATGTCAAATCGAGAATCGGGAAGGCGAGAAACACATTCGTCAACCTGAAATCAATCTGGAAATCTTCGTCACTCAGCATCAACAACAAAATTCGGATTTTCAATACCAACATCAAGTCAGTTTCGCTATATGGATCAGAAACTTGGTGGGTCACAAAGAATATTTCCAACAGCCTGTTGCAGACCTTCATCAACAACTGTCTTCGTTCTATACTGAAGATTAGATGGCCGGACAGAATCACAAACAAGAAGCTATGGGAACAAACAAAACAAGAACCAATCGCCCAACAAATATGCAGGAGAAAGTGGAGATGGATTGGACACTCGCTGAGGAGGCCACTCGTTGGGTGACATCGCGCGTCAGGCCCTCGAGTGGAACCCGAAAGGGAAGCGGCGAGTGGGACGTCCAAGGATGACATGGAGGAGATCGTGTGATGAGGAACTTAAACAGTATGGACTAACATGGATGCAAGTGAAAAGTACAGCACAAGACAGAAGCAAGTGGAGGCGTGCAGTTGAAGCCCTATGTTCCACTAGGAACCCAAGGGAACAATAATATAGTAATAATAATATTTCGCACAAGACTACAGGAATATGGTGTTTTACTTCTCTCTCCTTTCCTCACCCTTTTGTCCATGAATGTGGCTAAACCACGATGCGTTTGACGAACAACTTACATAACTCCTTCTACCAGCCAAAGCTTGGATATCGCGACTAACGAAGTGTGAGAAAAAAACGCAAAACTTGACACAGTATCACATGAAAAGATATGAGTGTCTTGGACATTATTCCTACTTCACTCACTAGTCTACTATCCGAAAAGAATGCAGTGATATTTTAACCATAGTGACGAGGAATTATGCAAATCCACGATTCCCGTTGGTACAACTCGAATTCTTAAACCTTCCCAATATCGAGTATATACTCAATGGTGGTAGAAGTCCACGAAACAATGCATTCAAGGCATATGTATACTTCTCATGACCACAGTGATTGCCTGCAGAATATCTCAAAATTATAGAGAAATCAAACGCCACACGAGATGGAATTAACTAAATCCGCACGGCGAACAAGCTGTAGTACACATCTGGATATTTATTCACAGCTCATCATGTTGACAAATCCATATCACTACCTGTGCAACACCAATAAACCTGAATGTCTAAGAAGTAGTGAAATATGCTGACAGTCGTATTTTGAACCTCGCTGGGTCATTGAATGGTAGTATTTCGCTCCTGCACGCATCATTTTATCATTTTGTATGGATTAGTTCGCAATCATTCTGGTTCCTGGACGAAATGAATTCAAAAATTCACCGGTTGCTGGTTATGGTGATTTATCAATGCTTCTTTATATGTTCAACTGGACACTAACTGCTGTGTTTAGCCGCTTGCAGATGATATTGCTGCGAACATTATTGTCAGTTGTAGGGGAATGTCTAGCGAGCTCAATAACATAACAAGTATGTGAATAAATATCCAAGTTAATGAGATGATAGTGTAACAGTATATTATAAAATATACTGCTATATTCATTTAACGGTTACTTGGATATTCAGTTAAAGTCCACGGTCACAAATTATTAATATAATCCACAGAAGCGTTCACTACTGGAATCGTGTCTACTGGTAAAAGCTATGTACCGGTTGTATAATTGTCTTCGGACGAGGATAAGAGGTTCCTGCAAAAATTCAAAGTATACAACACGGTTATGAGTGGAGCAAGTAGACAGTATAAACAAGCGAGAAGACGGGACGATGAACAGCACACTGTATTTTAGATTGTACTCGGAGGTTATCTGTATTCCCAAATGAATTGTTTTAATCAAAAGTCATGTACAATGCCTCCAATTTCAACATCTGACATAGGAGTGTACAATCATACTGTTACGTACTCCACACGGTAAACTAACGCTTTGCAAGCTGGTTTTCTACTTTTGTGAATAGCCTACGTTATCTACCACTTGTGACGCAAACTTCAGTTTTTACGCACACTTTCGCCTGATTCACACAATGATGTTGCTTAGGATTATGTCATGTATATTGTTTTTACTTATGTAAATTGTGCTTACTGACATTATTCCATTACATTTTCTGGCATATATATATATATATAAATATATATAGGTGACTGAACTAGCAATGGATAGCGGCACACACGACCTTATGGAGAGGCTGAGCACTTCAAGGTCACTTTTGCGTGTTGTGGTTGGTGATTTCAAGTTGGCGTATACGTGGCGGCAATACGTAAGTAGTGTAAACTGCTGAAAAAGGCGTGAAAGTTGTGTTTTAGTTGATGACTGACGAAGTGGTTGATGTATTTAACCGCATATTGAAGTGTAACCATTTTGACACGTGGGATGCATTTGAGACTGCCTTTAACGAATTCAATAATCTTGCGCATACTCATTGTGTTTGAGAAGCAGTTGTGTAGATAGCATTAATCGTATTCTTCGTTACAAACGTGTAAGTTATGTGTGTACCTTCGGTCAAATACGGCGAATTCGGTCTAAAGGAGTTAGGCCTGGAACACCGTAAGTGTATATGTGAGTTTTTAGTGTGTGTTTTATAAGTTCTAAGTGTATGGGTTGTACATCGAGTTTCTGTGTTAATTCAGTTAATAGACGCCTGGAAGTAGGTGATATGAAGGGTGTACATAATCATCCTTGTACAAAAGAATTTATGATGGTGAACTACAGCAGACGTTGCTTAACGGAGGAGGAGAAGACTGAAGTGAATTGTATGGTTAAATATATGATATCAACTGCTGAACTGAGGGATGCAGTTTTCTCGAAATTCAGAAAATATCTAACGCGAAAAGATGTTGTAAAATTGAGAGAAGAAGTGTTTGGAGGTCTACATATTACGAAATAATTGGTCAACGTCATTCTAGGTATGAAAAGTATGGATGAAGTTCTGCAGCTGTTAGCATCAACAGGACAAATTCGTACAAAGACTGCAAATGGAGAGGTTGGTGTCATATGTTTCAGCCTGCAGCAACAAATTAAGTTTTTTTCAGAGTTTTCCAGAAGTAATTTGCATTGATTCGACGTACAAAACGAATAAGCTTGGATAAGTTACTGATACTGGTTTACTGTCTGAAGTTTCAGTCTTTTTCCGTTAGTCGCCACAGATGGGTGTGGAAATGGTGCTTGTGTTATGTTTGCTTTTTGTAATGGGGAGACAGTGTTCGATGTCACGTTTGTCCTGCAGATGTTTGAATCCATTATGGGATGTACCGATACAACGAAGATGTTTGCAATGGATAATTGTCAGGCGGAAATATCTTCGGTGCAACAAGTGTTTCTACATTGCAGGATAGTCCTTTGCTCATTTCATGTGCTGCGAGCATTTGGTCGGAAGTTATGCACCTATAATTCATCATTACTGTGTAGTTTTGGAATAGTGACATACGGTTCGCACTACGAAGAATGCTTTCAACGCGTTTTAGAGAAAGGTCAGTGACGTCTGAATTACGAATTCGCTAATTCTGAAGATTTGACTATTATTGCAGATTACTTCAGGATAAATTCCCTCAAGCATACCAATATTTAAATGGACAATGGATGAATAATAGGAGAATGTGGGCTAGATGCTTCAGGAGGAAACAGATGACGTTGGATGACGGAACGAACAACAGGGTTGAGAGTGCTCATAAGCACTTAAAGTTGCACCTTCGGCGAAACGACCCACTAGTGCTAACCATGTGGAAAGTTAATAACAGGGCGAAAAAGTATTGGCGTCTAAGGCAGTACAATACAATGTTTAATTTACAGACATTTTTTCAATATGATGTAAGTAACACTTCATTATTAGACGCTTTGTAGGTTCCGGAAGTAATTCAAATGCACTTAGACAAATTGACACCTTATGCCGGGTAATTAGTATTCAACAGTTACCGAAGGGTTGAATGCATTCATCACACTGTAGTAAGCAGCGACATAATTGAATGCTATGATGGAGTTACCTTCAACCTTGTGGACATTTCCAGAGGAGTGTGTACGTGTCATCCATGATTATCACCTGCCTTGTTCCCACATCCTGTATACCTACACTGTGGGATTGTTCACTGGAGGTAAGTTTAATTCAAGCAGTTTACATGCACATACCATTAGATTTACTGCAACACAGCCGAAGGTGGTCGCGGGAGTACAGCTTTCATGTTTGCATGGAAACAGTGGAGCGCGTTCCAGAAGCCTATGATGCACATAATTAATGACCTTTTTTTACTTGAACTATTTTTGTACTACACCTTTTTAATATACATATTCTCAATTTACAGTAAATACATACATTCCTATTGACTCAGTGTATTTCTTTCCTTTATCACGTCGAAGATGCATTATTCTTGAAGAGAATTCAAGGTGACGTAATAATCCTCTCGTAAAATGCTGTCAAAAAGCAAAGGACGTCTCAATAAAAAGCTTGTTTCTTCAGTGCTATGTTACGAATAAATCAAGTAACATTCCCTTATACCTGTAAACTCTTCTGATTGTAACCACATTTTCAGAACTCAGAGATTCAAAGCACCACTTCGGAATTTCGCAAAATACACTTCGTTTGCCTAATTTATTTCTTTTTTATTAACGTAATCAACAATTAACACGGAATTTTAACATTCCACGTGCAAAGAAACAACGACATTCGATGAAAATACGTGTTCACTCAAAATGCTGAAAAACGTGTACTTTCCACCATTTTTCTAAGTTTTTAGCTAAAATATGGTATGTATAATGTATTTCAGTTGGAAAAACACCTGAAAACAACGTAGAACAACCCAAACACAACATCACGATAACACATAACGACACTCCGTGTGTGCCTCTATCCATTGCCCCAGCTCATGTAATCAATCCCTGCACGACTCTTTTTGGGAATCAGTCAAGCTATGACAGTCGAGAGTTGGTACAGACTAGGCAGAAGTTCACTGAAAACCGGGAACCTTTACCTTGGAGCCTACACGCGAGCACAAAATATCAATTTGGTTTACACCAGCTCATAAAGACGATATTGGATTAGGTTGAGCGCTTCATTCGACAAGTGTGTTACAGAGGTTCACTAACTGTAAGTAATTCGTACAATTTTACTGCGTGACACTTTTAATTTTGCCTGTGTGTGTTGAGAGAAAAAGCATAACAATTTCTCTGGAGGCAAAGTTGAACTACCACAGTAAAGGCCTGTCAAATGCTGACCTTCAAGGACCAGCCAGACTTCGAGAACGCTGTAGATCATTTAAAATCAAACCATGCCTGTATTTATGAATGTGATGATGGTATATAAAGTATTGTACATATTTCTAGGGTATTTTTTACTGTAAATCTCTACTTTTGGATAGGTTTAGGGTTTCGTAGGATTACCGATAAAAGTAGGCCAAAGGACAGTATCAGGACTTCAGTGTACTATGATCTACAACCACCTGGATGAATACATTTGTGGCACATGGCATGATTTCTCAATGGGTTATCCTTGGAGTAACTGGTAGACATTCTTAAAACATAAGAGACAACTGTCCGGTGTGATATGTATGAAATGTTTCTTAATCCCTTTTTAACGATTATATTACCTTTTGCATCGGAATTCTGACTAGGTCACAGTGATTTTAGTAATGGCAGTTTAAATCCTCTCTAAATGAAGTTTAATATTTAACTAGCAGCTGTGCGTCGGTGGCACAGTGGTTAGGACTCTCGCCGACCATGCACATGGTCCGAGGTTCGAGCCCCTGCCGGCGCACACCCGATATCTATGGTCGGCCTGCAAAAATTTGGGCTACCGATATCCATGCTGAAAATGCCATACTTGTACTGAAAATACGGTGTGGCATCAAGCTGTAACCAAAATAAATAAAAAAGTAAATGCAATAATAAGTAATGGATAGTTAAAATATAGTAGCCAGCCGTGTACATCACCTCAGCAACCTATCAGACTTTTGATATCACTGAATTAAATTATACCTGTTCCAGACTTGGGTGAAAGGTTTCAGGAATATCGATTGATTACTGTACAATTATTACATCACCTAAAATTATGTAAACATACAGACGTGGAAGATAAATTGTCTTTTGGAGGATCACGATTTCGGGATAAAAAACAATCAGAAGTATAGACGAATATTAGAATACTTTGGTATACACCAGTCTTCCTGACGATTTGGTGGCTTTAAGTGCTTCTTAATATGGATTAATTGCTTAACGTCAGTGAAAAAGTAGATCAGCGTAGCTGCTATGCTTTAACTTCAATGTTCTCAATTGTCAAATATATTCATTATCATTCTTATTGTCTTGTTTTACCAGAAATATACTAAAGTAGGTATGTTTGTTTAATTGCCTCTTATTGAGTGGCAACTGAAGAAAGCTGCTTAAATTAAACTAAAAATGTGGCCGTCCTAGGTGAAGACGGTAACGAAGTACAATCTGTGCACTACACAAAAATTATGTGCGTTTGGTGTGCTTTACACTTACAGAATACGGGACTGGTCTGCAGTGACCGCTAGTTTGAAGCTATGCTGTGAAATATTCGAGTGTGATGACCACTTCACTTATCTTAAAAGTTGCCTCAGACCTGAAGGAGTATTTACCGAAGAAATATCAGGGACAGCAAAAGCTAATTTAATATTTGACAACTGGCATCACCATCGACTTGCTGTGTATATGACTTAGCACGTCGCTGTTCTACATCCCAATTACAAGGTATGTCCGATGAAGGTCAAAGAAATGAGAGTAATACAAGTTTTCGACTGTAAATGTCTTTATTTTAGATGTAACTTAGTCAGTGGGGAAATAAGTTGACATAGGTGACTGAAACATGTGCTACGCGTGCGGGGCAACTTGGTATGAAAGAGTTGAGTGGTGTAAGGCATAATACCAGTTCACGAAGTTAGCGACTGTCACGTAGACAGGTGTACGTTGTTTAGCTGAAGTTGTCAAGGTACAGAAAATGAATTTTCCATGACTTGGTGAAGTAACTCATAATAGTTCAAAATAGTGTCAGTATATTCACTCTTCATCATCCTTACTCCTCACCGAATTATTTCTTTTCCTGCACATCTCTGTCCTATCTAGTATTACCAGTACGCAGCTATGGAGACTTCTATGTTAATTCGTTAGACTTGAAAATAGCTAACAACCAGTCTGGGATATTTTCATTACCGTTCTTTTCTTTGAATTTCAGTTGTTTCCATTTCATAAGTTACTCATTAAAGGAAAATACGTTCCTGTTTAAAAAACACTTGTCTACACAAAAACCTAAGTGTGATTTCAGTTTCCATGCCTAAATGGACTAATTACCAATAATGCTGTTGGAAGCAGTTTAAAAAAGAAGCAGGTTTTTACTTTTTAAAACTTATTTTCTTTGACTTCACAGCTGGCTGTTTGTCAGATTTTACGTAGCATTAGTTTAAATATTCCCTGGTTTTTGTCTGAACGCTGCAGTTACAGTTGTACTTATCTTTTTTCTTCAGATCTGTCATGAACTACCTTCTCAGCAATGCCGCCAATGGATGTTGACCTTCATCCTAACAATCGAAATGGTTCCTCTGCTTATCATGGACAACGCCTGAGTACTGATGCTCCTGATAGTACAAATGTTTCTATGGGGGATTCTAGTAGCTCTCGGTCCTCAAATATAGATTCAACCATATCTGCGTCAGATACTATCCGTAATGATACTTGTGACGGTAGTAACAGAATGCTTAGTTCCATGCATGAACGTGTCAATGTCTTTGAACATAATTTCTCTGTGCCGCGTTGCTGTTCCTTTGGAGACGGGTTGATAACTAGCGTTCATAACACACATGTAACCTCATCTGTTTCTAATGGTAAATCTGGCTCAGTTCAACAATCTAATGATCGCTTGGCGTATACTGCAGAACGTCATCCTATCAGTTCGTTTGAAGCGATGAACCATTTTCGTAAAAATAAAGAATTATGCGATGTAGTACTGTTAGTCGATGGAAGGGAGATTTACACACATCGTGTTGTACTAGCAGCTTGTTCGGCTTATTTTAGAGCTATGTTTACCGGGGAATTGGCTGAATCTAGACAGACTAAGGTAATGATACTTTATTAACTTTTGATGTAATCTTTTTCCACAGAACTTAACTGTTCGTTACTAAGCGATTGTAAGAATCATGTGATATGAGATAAAAGCTCTATAGAAGCTAAGGGTGCTAATTTGTTTTATCATTTTTTTGTTTCTGTAGCTGAAACATGGCTAATATTCATACATGAAAGTCGTTAAAATACCTCAGCATTATCTATTGAAATAAACTTAGCAGCAATGTTGCAGTATCTCAGCAAATCTCTTAAACACTAAGGGCTATTAAGGTTGGTGTGGCGAATTAACAACAAAGAATATCAAGGTTTACTAGTAATCAATACTGTTTGTGAAATTGGCATACTATTGGTGATTGGTGCATAACTAAAGGTGATGTGTACAGAGTTTCAGTTCCAAACACACTCATAGCACTGTGGCTTATCAGATTACGCACTCAGTTGTCTGTTAATTTGTCTCTCCCCATTACGAGAGTTTAGGCAGCTAGGTGATATATAGCTCATTAGTAAGCGCATTAACACCCGCCCAGTTGTTGAGTAACTTTTACTGTCATTCGGGTACACTACTGCAGTTTTTTTTAATTTGGATAAAATGAGCATTTAGAATTCCAATCAGTCAAGTAATAACGAATTCAGGGCTCTACAATAGTTAAATTTGTGGTATGATAATTTTTATAATCTCAGGACTTTTCACTAGTGTGACATATTACCCCATGACTCATTATAAGGTTGTTTACACTGTTGTGATTACTTCAAAGGCTCTTTGGTTAATTTGGCTTGTATATATTCAGGGATATTCGTTCCAGTCACTATAAATGGTTGAATCATGCAAACCTTACCACTACGTCAAGGTGGCAGCTGTCTATTTGATCATTTCCTATATACCTTGTTTTAATCTCACTTGTGTAGTGTCTACACCGTATTCCTTACTGGATAGATTTCTATTTTGTTTAACTGGTGGTTGACTCATTTAATTACACTCAACTTGCGCTGCCTCTTGATAAAGCTCCAGAATAAAATGTTATTATTGATTCATTTTGTCGATTTGCATGGGTTGTAGATTTATTTCTATCAACTGATTCTAAACGATTAACATCAGTAAGTCACCCATAAAACGCACATTACCCAATCCTTCGATGTTTGTGATTGACTTGCTTGATATGGGCTTTGGAATTTGGTTTAGCAGAGTTGTCAGATTTGACTTTGCCGTCAATACCATATTCATGATAACTGTGGTGGGACAGAGGTGTGGATTTACTACCAGATAAAAGACTCATATCTTGTTTATTTAGGCAATATGAAGTTGTCAGGTGATAATACCATCTACTCAAATTGTCCTTATTCATTTAGCAATCAACTTCCTTGTTAGATAATGCTGAATGTTCAGTTTTCACTAAAACGTCAAGGTATTTATTCGATTCTGTATCATACTAGTCTCTAATCAGGACCATCTAATTTTAGTGTTTTAAGCAGATTAGGAAATATCAGGATTGGAGATCAATCTTCAAGAAATCAGACAAATAAGGTCTCTTAATGCAACCAAGATATTCTGTAAAATCTGCAGTTATACTTTCTCTGTTACTTGTAATCCCACAGTTATCTCTTACATACATTCACATTTAACAGGTCTTAGACGGCCGGTCAGCTAGCTGAGAAGTCTAACTTGTGTTACTTTATGCTTTATTATTGCTATATTTTACATTTATAACGCTTATTGTCTTTTACTAAATACAAATCCCTAAAATTTTTGTAACACTATTTAGGTTACTCTTTACGACTTAGATGGCGATGCTGTTGAAACTCTGATTGACTTTTGCTACACTAGTCAAATTACAGTAGAAGAATGTAATGTTCAAAATTTATTGCCAGCTGCCTGTCTGTTACAACTTACAGAGATTCAGGATGTGTGTTGTGAATTTTTAAAACGCCAGTTAGATCCTTCTAATTGCCTAGGCATCCGAGCATTTGCTGATACACATGCATGTAGTGGATTACTACGTGTAGCTGATCGATTCACACATTTACACTTTCTTGTAAGTTCCTTCTGTTTTTTGCATAGACGATACACATAGACAATGTTTCAGTAGCGATTTATATTGTTAGTGTTAAGTTTTAAATGAAACTCTATGTATATAAACAGAACGCAGTAACAATGATCATTCTCTTACATTTATTCCACATTACACTGAGTGACTGATGTACATTAAGGTGAAATAAGTAGAACCAGTAGTTATCTCATTTATTCTAGGCACTTATTTAGTCACTTGGTCTTTCTACCTACAGCAAGACTTTTTCTTAAAAAGGCTGTTTTGTAAAGATGTATAGTAAGATTTAGGCTATAGTAGACCATTGTAATATAGAATTATTTTTAATTCTTATCCTTTATTTCATTATATATATATATATATATATATATATATATATATATATATGTAAATGAACCGACGTAGCAAAGGCTGAAGATACTACCTAGTTGCGTAGGTTGAACTAGACCATGTAGGATTCGATTCCAGGACCTATTGGCCGAAATTCGGTCACTCCATAGCAGCAATGATATTGAAAATTAACACAATTGACTATGAAAAGTTAATTTAAAATTCATGCGACATTGAATATCGACCTACTGAGTGTGTGATAATATGTTCATCTCGTAGTCTGAAGATTTTAGGCTCGACTGATGGATGCAGTCATAGGTATACACTGATGAAGAGCGTCAAACGAGAACGAGACAGTTGTCCAGTGCTCCTGTTTCTCTGTGATGTCAGTTTTTGGTGAAGTCTACTGTAAAATTATGAAAAGAGATAAATAGTTAATGGTTATCGAAAATGTTCTCAATTGTCAAGATAAGAGAGAAATGAAAGTATCTACACCATTGTTAGAGAGTTTAGTCATTCGGTGGTATATACTTTTATGCACATATGCCTGCTTTCTTGATTACCATTCATCGTATCGAGTAGATCACATATTGTAATCGGAACAGCTTGGTTTTCAAAGGAAAGCACGATGAAATTTTACCGCTCAAACTGGGTAAATTGCAAATTGTGAATTTCATTTATGACATGACCAGTTCAACCAAGCAACTAGCCAGAAATCGACTGGTTTGGACTGATTCCACCCTCTGAGCTGAATCGAACCGGATACACCACTGATAAACTCGGTCGCAAACGAGTGAAAGGGTCGCCCATTGTTTAGATCACCTCGATAACCTGGCTAGCAAGCACTGCTGGTTGATATGAGTGGTATGCAACTATTCATCCCAATCAATCAATCAGTAGTGCATAGTTTTATGCAAATAGACTTGCTTTCTTGATTGCCATTTATGGTGGTAGTATCAAGCAAATCGCATACTGTGTGTGATCTGAAAAATTTCGGATTCCGAAGGAAACTGTGGTGAAATTTCACCACCCAAATTGCTAATTAGTACGCAAACTGTGAATTTGACTAATTTAGGCACAGAGTTCTATTCCTGTGACTATAGTTTTGTAACCATTCATTTTTTACATTTTCATTCATACCTAATCAGACAATACAAAGTATGTTTATGCTTAATATTGTAGTATGGAATAAAAGAAAAAAGGGGAGTGTATTCAACCTATAGGCTGTTTTTTTCTTTTCCTCTTTCCATTCATTTTTTTTTAAATTTAGGAAGTTGTAAAATCTGAAGAATTTCTACTTCTTCCAGTTAATCATCTTGTTGATATTTTAAGTTCAGATGATTTAAATGTTTATTCAGAAGAGCAAGTTTATTATGCTGTAATGTGTTGGGTGCATCATAATCTGTCTGAACGTCGACCATATTTATCTTATGTATTAGAACATGTACGATTGCCTCTGCTTAGTCCTAAATTTCTAGTTGGTACTGTTAGTTCAGATTTATTAATACGTTCGGATGAACGATGTCGTGATTTAGTGGATGAAGCAAAAGATTATTTACTGTTACCTCATGAACGTCCATATATGCAAGGTCCACGTACTAAACCAAGAAAAGTATTACAAGTCGGTGAATTATTATTTGCTATTGGTGGTTGGTGTTCAGGTGATGCAATAGCCTCTGCTGAACGTTATGATTCACGTACGCATAAATGGCATCTTGTAGCACCAATGCATAAAAGACGTTGTGGTGTCGGTGTTGGAGTTGTGTACGATTTACTCTATGCTGTTGGTGGACATGATGGACATAGTTATTTGAATTCAGTTGAAAGGTAAAAATGCGTGTCATTATAAGTTTCGTTATTTTTAAACAAATTCCATATTCTATTCATCATTATGAATGTGAATATATTCAAGTGTATTGAATTATCAGAGTATTATTTATTGGAACTTTTAAATTTCTCGATGCTTCTTTTTATTCGTCTTCACTGGACTGAAATGATGAAATCGGTTCTTTGAATGGTGGTGGTCTGTTCATACACTTAGTTTTAATTGATATATGACGGCTAACAATGAAATCTGAGTGGCACACAGCTTCAGTCGACAAGTACCGAGTACGACGAAATACGCTGTTATTTGATTTAATTTTAATAAAAAGGGATAGCTATCTAAGCCACATATTATAATAATACCTGCTAATTAAAGTGTTCTAACAATCCGGGCTCTGATTTATTGAAGAAGTACAAAGATGTATTAAGGAAATACAAGAGAGATAGTTGCTATCTTTACGTGGTGATTAGGCTTTCGTGTCGCAGTTACCCAAAGACCCATAGTGTTTGAAGAGAATATTCCCACACATGCTACCATGCCTGAAATGTAGGCCGAATAGCAGTTAATCTAAAAGTAGTTACTATCATAGTTTCAGTTGCTTATGTTATATTAGGATATGGTTGAGGGAGAAGTCTCGTTGCTGGTCAATAGAAGTGTGACAACAGTAAATGATCAGCAAGCTAGTTACCCTACTTCACCACACTATAGGGAGAATGGGTTAGAAAAGGTCAGGCCCCAAAGTTCGTCACCTTGACTTACCATAAGGTCATTTGCAGCCCGTAGTCGTGGGGTCTTCCGCACCTCCGAACAAGCCGTATGCACTTTTCCTAACTGTAGCAACTGCAACCGATTCGTTTTTTTGCAAACGTAAAAAACGTTTGCAAGTCAGTTGATGTTTAGAATGTTAAAGATAATAAGGACCGAGTGCATTTATATATATTGTTGTCATTTAATCTCGGCCTACTGATTTGAACACTTGACTTATAGCCGGTAGGCCCCTATATAGATTCCCGCTCCTGGTCTACTGATCAGTATCACCAAGCCTTACATGATTTGTTACTTATAGCCTAGACTATAAAAAAATCTCTTCTGGATAACGGAGTTCCAACAACAACAATAATAAACCCGTACTAAATTTTAAAGAATGACTGCTATAAGGCGTAAAGAAGGCTAAGGTAAAAATAAAAAAGAATGCAAATATCTATCTAATACATGAGGCTTTAACAGTTGATGTATAGAATTGAATAGTTTCCATCGTACTACTTATTAATATATGGATTTTTTTCTTCAAAAAAACCCACTTAATTACAGATATGATCCTTACACAAATCAATGGTCGTCCGATATAGCTTCAACTAGTACATGTCGTACTAGTGTTGGTGTAGCTGTAGTTAATGGTTTAATGTATGCTGTCGGTGGACAAGATGGTGTCTCTTGCTTGAATTTTGTTGAGTGTTATGATCCAAATGTGAATAAATGGCTAAAGGTAATTCAGTTTTCAATGTCACTTATATGTTTACTTTCAGTATATATATATATATATATATATATATATATATATATATATATATATATATATATATATATATAGGTTATTTCCCAATGAGACTGTTCGAAAGTAAATAGGTTTTTGTTGGAAATCGCTCAGTTTTCCTTGTCGAATAGTCTTAAACTAAATCCCTCTAAATTTCAGATATCCGATTTCACTTACAAGCACAAATGTGATTTACATGAAATGGTTGGTCCACATAGTTGTTGTGTCATAGCAGGCACTGGACTCGAAATCTTGAATACCTTGGATTATGTCTTTCCTCTAATCTTTTATCGTCTTCCCATATCATGTTAATTTTTGGAAAGATGCTTTGTCTAACCTTCTAAAGTTAAAACGGTCTACTTTCATTCGGCCTACTTTTACAATTTTTTAATTCTTGTATTGTCTATTTTTATTCGTTGCTTCCTCCACCAAATCTTTCCTGAGCTAATTAAAAAAAGACTTTGTTACATTCCGAAAGGCACTAAAAGCTGTTGTTAGGGCGAGAGAAGTGTCGCTTAACCAACTCGTCAATACTGTTGTGGACAGATACTTGAAATCTTGCAAGACATTATATTATTATTTATTATTATTGCTCCATTGGGTTCCGAGTAGAACGTAGGGTTTCAGCAACACATCTCCATTTTCTTCTATTTTCTGCCATCCTCTTCAGCTGGTTCCACGATTGCCCAAACTCTCTCATCTCTTCCTCATACGATCTCCTACATGTCACACACCGACCACCCACTCGTCCCTTCCCATTTGGATGTCATTCGACGGCCTCCTCAATGTGTATCCGATCCATCTCCATTTTCTCCCATATATTTGTTGAGCGATCGGCTCTCGGTTGGTTTGTTCTCAGCCAGAGTTTCTTGCTGCTAATTATTTCCGATCTGCAGTATGGAGCCAGCAGCTGTTGATAAAAGTCTGCAGTAGCCTGTTGGAAATCCTTCTGCCGGCCAAGTTTCTGACCCGTATAGAAGAACTGACCGACTTTACATTTGTGTTGAAAGTGCGAAACATGTTGTTTATGCTGGGTAAGTGCAGAAGATTTCCAAACTGGTTTCAGGTTGATGAAGGCGTATGTATCTTGTCTTTCAGATTCGGACTGACTGAATGTTTCTGACATCTTCATCCGTTCCGCTGTCTGTAGTTGAAACGATGCTGGCTTCCTAGATAAGTGAAGGCAGCAAGTAACCTCTGTTAAATCTCTACCTTTGATGGTGATTGGTGCTGGTTGTTGTTGTCGGTTATCTTCGTCACCTCCGTCTTCCCTATGTTCACCTGGAGTCCTGTCTTCACTGCCTGTTCAACCACCTTGTCACTTTTATCCCGTAAGTGCTCGAATTTTTGTGACATTAGACATATATCATTTGCGAAATCCAGATCTTCTAGAGTCTTCTCATCGGTGGTCCAGCGTATTCCTGTCTCCTCGTTCCCAAGCACAGTCTGACGCATAATCCGCTCCACCACAATTAAGAATATCATCGTGGGTGATAATAGACAGCCAGCCTTGCCTCACTCCTGTATTCACTTGGAACGCCTCGGTGAGTGGGTTTCCCGTTGTGGATCACCTGATAGTTGGCATTGTCACATAGCCAGCTGATGAATGAGGTTGATAAAGACTTGGACACAGTACACCGTAATGTTGAATTAGTTTCCTAATTACTTCTCCGTCAACGCTGCTTGGTGAAGACTTTTTCGATGTCGATGAAATTGAGGTAGAGGTTGAGGTTCAACTGTCACTCTGTGCTCTTCACAATGATAATAATAATAATAATAATAATAATAATGGCTTTATTCCAAACAGTATTTGTGTTACAGGTATGGAATTTTCAGCGTTCATTACAATATTGCATCTAATTACCTCATAAATTTTATAAGGATTTAGAAATATAAAGCAACAACAACAAAAAGAAAAAGAGAAATAAAAGAAATAAAATAAAAAAGAACAGCATTGCATTCACATATTTAAACAGTGCACCACAGGATACGATATATAAAATTAGTCTGTAATAGAATATATGAGCAGCAATATAATAGTAACAAAGAAAGGAGAACAAAAGCTAATGGGAACTATTTGTTAGAGTGCCGCAGTAAATTGATCATGTCATGCCTAACAGTTTTCTCATCACATAACAGCTGTGCCAGATAAGGCATTGTGGAGTTTTTATACTTGGTAGTCCTGGCATATAGCTTCCTATAGTTACTTCTAGTTCTACCAGATGATATGCAAGGAGAGAGCTGTGTATAGAGAGGATGCTCAGGGTCTGACAATATGGTATTCGCTAGTTTCTTACATGACATTATATGTCTATCCACTATGGTGTTAACCAGTTGGTTTAACGATGCGTAGAGTTGTAATTCGATCAGCATATGATCTGCCTTTCTTGAATACTGCCAGCTTGTTCAGGTGGGTTGGCGGAGTTCTGTATCTAGTGGATCTTTCATTCTCTCCAGGATGAGGCGACTGATTATCTTGCTTGTCGTGGACAAGAGCATTATTCCACGCCAGTCAGTTCTTGCACATGCCTAAGTCGTCCTTCTTTGGCGGCTTGACAAGGTGGCCAGCCTTCCTACCAATCGGTAGGTACCTTTCCTTCCTTCTTTCCAAACCTTTTGCAATAATGACGTGAGAAGATCTGCGGCAGTCTCTGGGTCCGTTTTCAGTGCATCGAAGGAGGATGGGGCGTTCCGTCTGGTCCTGCTGCCCTCCCGACCAACGTTCAATAGCTTGATTGCATTTAGTATTTCTGCTTTCGTTGGAGGATTGGTGTCGACTGGCAGGAATTTCTGTGAGCGCTGTTGTTGTTGTTGCTGGTAGTGGTGGTAGTGGTGCTATTTCAGGAGGACTTGTAGGTGATGCATGATTCGAGAGTCTTTTGAAGTGATCAGCCCGTTGTTTATTTGTTTCTCCTCCTTGGTAATCAGGTTCCCTTGAGCATCTATTATCGGTTTCATCGTCTGGTTATCTGATATAATGTCCTGAAGTTTGTTTTACCTGTGACCAGCCATTGTGTCGTAGAATTGTCATTTATCTTTCTTAGCACTCTTTTTCACTTCTTTATTCAGTGCAGTGTACATTGAACCTAGCTTCTCCTTCTGTTGTGCATGCTTGTATTGAGTCATCTCCTTCACCTTCCTCCTCTCTTCTATTAGCTTCCGGGTAGGTGTCCGTTGAGAGTCATTCCTTGTCCTGTCTCTTCTTTCTTCCTAGAGCAGTTGTGCACGTTTCCTTGACCGCTAGCTTCAGAGAGTTAGTTCCAATGTTCTTCCACGCAAGTCTCCTCAGTGATGCCACGTGGTGTGTCTGACTTTGCTCTTATATGATCTGTAGTGAGGTCATCCCTTTTGGTTTTGTCCTTCAGTTCCTGAATGTCGAACTTGAATCACAGTGACCCGTCTACATTTGTTTTGAGGGATTTCAGCTCCACCTTGAAGATTCGTTGAACCAGATGATGATGATGTGAGTCCACATCTGCTCCCCTCCTCGACTTTTTGTCCAGCAGACTGACTGTGTCTCCACTTTCTTGAGCAACATTGAGCTGAAATCTATCTGGTTTGTGGTGTGTCCGTCAGTCGAAATCCATGTTGCTTTGTGTATATCCTTGTGTTTGTACACGCTGTCTCCGATCACCAAATCATTGAGAGCGCAGTAGTGTGAGAATAATTCTCCCGTCTCATTCATTTGTTCAGGTGAGAGCCTCTCGACCCATGATGAGTTCTCTTCCTGTATTATCTGCTCCCAATTTGACTTGCATTCATATCGCCGATGAGGATTTTGATGTCACCATTTGGAATGTTGTCCATTACTGTTTGTAGTTGTCTGTAGAAATCTTCCTTCTCTTCTTGTTCCGCGTTGATCATAGCACTGTGCGTATTATTGGATGATTGTAACCTTCCTTCCTTCCTTCCTTGCTTTTGAGTTGAATCTTGCTGTCATAATGCTGCAGGAGGAGATTGGTTGCCACTGGATTAGGATTTTGGCTGGCATTGATAACATGATGATGGCCACTCACTGCCTCAGTGTGCTCGTGGTTGTCGTCGGGGTGACCAGAGCGGAGTAGATTACTGACTCACCAGTTTACTTTTTTGATAGTCCACAACCATTCCATCTGCTTTCGTTGATTCCCAGCACTTTTCATATCATATCTTCGCATCTCTTTGACCACCTGGGCAGCCTTCCCAGTCTCGTACATTGTACGGATATTCCACGTCCCCACTCTTATTCTTACTTTCATCGAGAGAAGACACATCGGCTGGCTGACTGGCTTCCCGAAGTCTTTCGTCAGTCCACTGTGTCATTTCGCCTTTCCGAATCGAGAGAAGAATAAGATTGTTATGAGAAGTTTTTGTATTTTTGCTATATTTTCTGTATGTTGGAGCTTCTGTAGGGGTTTGAAAGACTTAGTGGTGTGGGGTTGCTAGTCCCACGCCCAACCCTTCGTCTTTAGTCGGGCTTGAAACCGGCTAGAAAACTGGCAAGCTAGTTAACTAGGCGAGATTGTGCAATACATTGGCGAATATCATCTTGTCCTACTCTGAGCATCCTCTCTACAAACAACTCTCTGCTTGCATTCCATCAGGTAGAACTGGAAGCAACTCTAGAAGACTGTATGCTCGGACGACCTTATTCAGCACACTTTATGTGATGGGAAAATTATAAGACATGACACTGTGAAATACTATATAAACGGACGTCTTTTGTATTTCTTTTATTATTGTATAGTTGTTAATATTTTCACTTAAATTTTTATTTTATTTTTCTTCTTATTTAATGATATAGTCAATGTAAATGCCTTGTGTAATAATTACCCCTGTATTGTGTAAAGGGGGATTAGATGCGATATTGTACACTTGCTGAAAGTTCTACACTGTATCAAACCTACCGTTTGAAATAAAACTATTATTATTATTACTATGGGGAGCGTCGGTGGCACAGCGGTAAAATGCTCGCCGACCACGCAGGTGGTCCGGGTTTCGATCCCCGGCCAACGCACTCCTTTACCTCGCTAAGCCAGTAGTAAGACTGGTAAAGAGGGAAGGTTGGGCATAAGGCTAGCAACCCCATCCTGTAAAAATAATCACCACTGCTACAGAAACTTTAAGCCTCTAGCTTGAAGCCCTATTTTCCACTGAGAAAGTAAAGGAATAAAAAAATGATTGTTATTATTACTAAAGATACTGAAGCATAAATACTCGAAATTGAAACAATATAAGCCAAAAGGTTTATTGGTCAAAACAACAGATAAGAGAAAGGTAAAATAAAAGGGGATGAAAATATCACTACGCAAAATAGACCTTGGTATTGAAACCAGATTACGAAGGCAGGTGTAAAGTAATAAAAAAATTCTGAACACAAAGATTCCCATACCTGTTTATGCAATAATATTTTCGTCTCCTTTCGCATCCCCCCATACCTGCGATTTTGACCCATAGACAAACATTTTGATCTATGTTGCTTCAGTTTCGACCCTTTATTCTCTGTTACCTTTTGTATGAATATGTATCACAAGTCCCTGTGTGTGTCTATCTGTTTTCAAGCATAGAACTTTGCACCGATGTGCAGCAGTTCAAGTCGCCACACTCCATGTAGCACACAAAGCAAAGGATGAAAGTAGAAGAAATGCAAAATAGAGACAGACAGGGATATGAGACAAAGGGAATAGTAATAACGCAAAACAATATAGTTACATTGGAAATTACAAGTCACAAGTAGTGGATCCATCTGCGCCATTGAGAACGATTTTGAGCCATATCACCAATTGTCTCCAGCCATTGGTGTTTACCGTCCCGAGGACCCCAACCAGTCACAAAGTCTACACCTTGCTACGTGGCTGGCTTAAACTAACTATTGTGGATTTCATTGACTGGTGCCATGTTTTGGTTTGACCGCCGCTAGCTCTTTTGCAGCCTGACCCTATGTCAGCTAACACTGCCCGTCGGGGAAGGCGATGACTAGGCATACGTAACACATGTCCTAACCATCTCAGTCGATTTAGCTTCGTCGATTGATTTCCACTCCCTCCTTACCTAGCACTCGACGTCTAACTTCAATATTACTCACTCTATTATACAACTTCACACGAAAGATGAAACGCAGGCACCTATGATCAAAGAAAGCTAGCCAGCCTTTTCATGTCTTCCACTTCTAATGACTAGGTCTCACAGCCAGCCATAAAGGAAGACGGAGCAAACTGCTGAGCAGTACACATGTCCTTTGGTTGATAGGCAGCCGGATATCACGTCTGCGCCAGAGACAGCGTAAACTGGTATATGCGAAACGCGCCCTCTGTATCCGTGCTGAGATTTCGTCAGCGATCAACCCGCTGGATGCAAATTCCCGAATAAGCGAAGCGGTCAACGTGCTTTACAACTTCACTCCCTATTTCTAATCTAGGAGTCAGTGTAGTCCAGTCCTATAACATTGTCTTACATTTTGGGGGAGCGAATCGCATGCCAAACATTCGTCGATTGTAGCCCAAGGCGTTCAGAAGACTCTGCATTTTGTCAGTGTCTTCGCCTAAAAGGACTATATCATGTGTGTGTGTAGTCAGAATGTTCGAAATGTTTTATACTAGAACATAACATGCTCAGATATATTACATCCTCTTTTTTTTAATAAAAAATAGTTGTGGTTAGTGAGCAGGAAAACATTTTACCTATGCTCAGTGTAAGACACTATCATTTCTAGAATTTGAAAAGCATTACATTTTATTGACCATTCACTAGAGGGTAATCATTGGTATGTGTCTGTTCCTTAGCACTGTTGCTGACTAGATCCAAGATCAGCCAAGTTTACAATGCATAATCTCACTCTATTGACTAGTACCATTAGGCATGCAACAGTGGCTTCTTGCCGATTGTCTTTAATCAATTAGCTTAGAATGTGTATAAACACAAAGAAAGTTTCTTTCTTATTGTCTTTCTGGAAGTCATACAGTCATGGAACAAGTCAATTAATTTAGTCCCCCATTATATCAAATATCTTTACAGAATTATGGACAATTCTATTCATTTCGTGCCACTGTTGGTTTTCAATTAAGCCGTTAGGTAATCTAATAATAATTGCTTAACAAGACAAAATAAAATACAGTAAGTAGAACTCATACGATGAAGATAAGTAGAAATTTAGTGTTACAAATTAAAGGCAAAGGTGAAATAGACCACGATAAAGTACAATGAGTAGAACCCAGAGGATGAAGAATTGAAGAGTATAAAGGGAAAATCAATCGAGAAAAAGCAAAACGAACGATGCGATTGAATAAACGAGTTACAAGAAAGGATTCCCAGCATAATTAAAGTTCAGCAACGGATATTCTTAGTGAAGCGAAGAAGGCTTGAGGTGTTTTGTCTGTTGATTATTCCTAACGCCTCTACTCGATATCCTGTATGTATCAGATGATGTTTGTTGATTGAGATAATTGAAGCCCTTTTTGATACATATTCTAAACCGTAATAATTTGTATATGCTAAGATTGAAATATGAGAAATATGAATTTTTGTTGAAAATATTAAAGTTTTTTATTTCTTTAAGTTATGATTAAAGAGAAAACCTCATGGATATTTAATGTTTTAACAAGATGTAAATTTAATGTGTATTTCCAATCAGGTATGTAACATGACTTGTCGTCGTCTCGGTGTTGGTGTTGCAGTTCTTAATGGTCAGTTGTATGCCGTCGGTGGTTCGGATGGTCAACAGCCTTTATCGTCAGTGGAGCATTTAGATCCTCGTGTTGGAGTATGGCATCAGATATCTTCAATGGGTACTAAACGTAAACACTTGGGAGTTGCTGTATATAATGGTCTAATATATGCTGTAGGTGGGAGAGATGAAGCAACAGAATTATCATCTGTTGAATGCTTAGATTTGCGTACTCGTACATGGACTCCAGTTGTAGCCATGACGTCAAGACGTAGCGGAGTGAGTTATCTTTCATAGGGATTTTTGTTCTTTTTTTCCGCAATAATTAAATAATCTTTTAAGTATGTTTTCTTGTTGAACAGTTTTTCATGTTAAACTATTGGATGCTACCGATAGGAAGCCCTCGACCTAGGTCTCTTACTTACTAACACTCATTAGTGAGGTGTATGTCAAAATTCGAGCAGATTAATTTCCTCTGAGGGTTTCGGACTACACCATCAAATGTTGCAGTCAAAGACGTTATCAGTGGGCTATCCACTTCGGAGGTTTATCTCCTCATGTACCATAAAATGAGTAGTAGTGACTAATTAATTTGTTGAATGTCGACCCATATATATGTATGGTGAGTCGTAAATGTTGTTCTTCAAATTCTACCGACCATGTGTACAATGTAACTATCGAGCTAAGCTGTACTTTCACCTCTCTTCATAATTACTGCACTGATATCTACCACTGCATATTAAGAGCACTCAGCCAACATTAAGCTGCATCCAGCCTGGGTTTCGTTCTTATTGCGTACATCCCTCAGTGCCAAATACAGTACTAATTTCACAAAACAGTATTTACTGTGTATGGGGCTTAGTTGTTTATATATTAGATTATGCTGGTGGGCGTAGATAAGTCTTACTAAGTAGAAATAACTTCAAATGTTTAGTTATTATTTCAAAACTAGCGTCAGTAAACACTTTAGACGTAATGTAACCAATACAGTAAAATAAAGTAATCACAGCTGTTTTATGTGTATAAATATTTTTTTATTGTCTTCAGATAGTATTTGAAATGTTAGTAATTAGGTTTAAATTTCATTTATGATGCTTTTTTCCTTCATTAGTTTCAACGATTGTTCCTTTAAGTGCGAAAAAGTCCAATGGTAAATGACACAGGTTCGAATCCCAGAAGGACATCGCAAATATTTTTAAAGGTTTCAAATACACCTTGTCCAGTGTGTTCACCAAGGCTGCCTACTATCACTAGTGACATTCCTAGTTGTGATGGACTGGCTTATGCGGAAGACTATGGGGAGCGAGAAGACAGGAATACGCTGCACTGACCGTCGGTGGCACAGTGGTTAGGACTCTCGCCGACCATGCACATGATCCAGGGTTCGATCCCCTGCCGACGCACACCCGATATCTATGGTCAGCCTGCAAAATTTGGGCTACCGATATCCATGCTGAAAATTCCATACTTGTACTGAAAATACGGTGTGGCATCAGTCTGTAATCAAAATAAAAATAAAAAAAGAAGACTCTAGATCTGGATTTTGCGGATGATTTATTTCTAATGTCAAATAAACCGGAATTACAAACGAAAACCAACAACTTGGCAGAAAAAGCAGTGAAGACAAGACTTCAAGTGAACATAAAGAAGACAAAGGTGATGAAGACAAACGACCAACAACAAGCACTAATCACTATCAGGAGGAGAAATTTGAAAGAGGTCACTTCCTTCACTTATCTAGGAAGCATCGTTTCACCTGCAGGCACGATGCACGGATAAGGATGTCAGAAGCAGAATTGGAAAGGCAAGACATAATTTCATCACTCTGAAATCAGTTTGAAAATTTTCTTCACTCCGCAGCATAAGCAACAAAATTCGCGCTTTCAATGCCAGTGTTAAGTCAGTCAGTTCTTATGCATAAGTCAGAAACTTGATGCATCACAGGAAACATTTCGAACAGGTTGCAAACTTTTATCAACACTTGCTTTCTCTCCATACTAAAGATCAAATAGCTGGGGAGAATTCGCAATGAGGAAATCTAGGAACGAACCAACAGGCAAGAAACCTGTTGCTCAACAAATATGTGGGAGGAAATGGAGATGGATTGAACACGCTTTGAGGAGACCGTTGAATGACGGCGCCTGTCAGGTCGTTGAGTGGAAGCCGAACATGAGACGACTAGTTGGGGGTGAGTCGAACGGCAATACAGAGGAGATCGTATGAGGAGGAGATGAGAGCCTATGGGCAATCTTGGAGCCAACTAAGGAGTACTGCAGAGAAGTGGGTAGGATGAAGAGGTGCTGTTGAAGCCGTATGTTCCACCCGGAACCCAAGGGAATAATAATAATATTATAACGGTGACTGTTGATATAAGAATAAAACTTGGGCACTGTGGTAGAGTGCAATTCCATTATGGATATAACAGTGACCGCTAAAATCCCCTGAACTTGGCGTTAATAGCTTTCAGCTTCCACCGTGGTTGGATGTCTATTGCATGACGTAGACGTATATATTAAGAACAGAAATATTCACTTAAAGAAACTTGTGCTCATTTCATTGTTATTATAAGACCGTCTGGAGTGGCCTCAAATGTTCACACTCACATGTGTGTAATCAGTGGTGACTGAAGAGAAAATGAATAGCTGAGTCGCTTCAGGATACAAATCAGTGGCCACTAGGTCACTAGTCCACCGCTGTACAGGATGAGCCACCAGACGCAAATGCTAGCCAGATCATTACTCCATTACAATCACCACAGACAATACCCAACTCTCATGTGATTAAATCAGTGACACGTTACTGTCCGTTTTTTCGTCACTCTCGCTGACTAGATAGGTATTTCTACCTTTTGATTACTTTGGGGAGTGGGAAAAGAAGTAAGGAGTTAACGGTTCAAAAGTAAAGCTGTTAATGAGTATGAAAATACTAGTGATTGAATGCATCTAGCCGCTTTACTGTTGTCCACTTTCAGCAGCTATGCCATGTATGAAGTCTTAATACAGTTCATTGAATATCTGACGTAAGTAACACAAAACATTCACTATGAATTTCACTACTATGTCATAGCTCTCATTTCCTCTGGAATAGGAATGTATTTAGGGTATTTACGATAACAATTTCCATAGAATGATATATATATATATATATATATATATATATATATATATACTAAGCTTTTAAAGTGTTTACAGTTATCAAATAGACTATATATTGAAAGTCAGTGTGGCAAATGCCAGCCTGAGTCACCTGCAGCACTGTTGCGACGTTAGCCTGCCGTCAGAGTTCGGGTTTACATTGCATTGGTGCACACACTCTTGGTCTGCGCCTTTGAAACATGGCTTCTCCGATGTCCATCGACTGTGTGTATTCAATAACCTTCTCCTGCGTAGAAGTACTTGCATCTGGTGGCATCGACATTTAAGTAACTTCAAAGTTCGGCGGGGTGTGTTTGTACACAGTTGGAATCGTCTTTCAATAAGTGTTGTCATTTTGGGACACTAGGTTCGATGAGTTGGTTATGTTATAAGAATGTCAACCCAGTGGCTCCTATGCTGTTCACTGTTTGCCAGCGCTGAAAATGGCTGTAGAAATAGGAGTTTTTGTATTTATTTGTAATCACTGTAGTTGGTTGACCTTCAGATTTCCCGTGTACACGACCTTAAGTCACACGTATCACGTGACAGCTGATGATACCATTGCCTAGTTGAGATTGTTGATGTAGGCGGGGTGTGATTTGAATCCTGGACCGAATAGTTGACAGCCGAGTGCCTAAATGAATTATGACCAGGAATATTATTGAATGTGTTACTGATGAAAAGAATTCGTTCAACTAGAATATATATTTTTTGATTTTTTGTTACATATTGCATAATATTCTATATTGATTTAACTAAATCTTTTTTTCTTTCCCGGGAAAACTACCTAGGTTGGATTAGCTGTAGTGAACAATCAGCTGATTGCTATCGGTGGATTCGATGGTGCTACCTATTTGAAATCTGTTGAACTATACGATCCAGATGCAAACAGTTGGTCTCTATGTGGCAGTATGAATTATAGACGATTGGGCAGTGGAGTCGGTGTAGTACGACTAGCTGATTCATATTGTAATTTCAATAGCACATCATTCACTAATGGCAATAACACTAACAACAATATTAATAACAGTTCCATCAGTAATTGTTGTCTTTCAGGATCTATTGTTAGCACCAGTGTAACAAGTAGCAACAATAGTAGTAGTATAAATGATGGTTCGTTAAGTTTTTCACTAACTGACTCCATATTCCCACCAGGTTTACCTATTTCTACAACCGGTCTATGCTCTCATAACACAAATATTAATAACAGTAACAATAATAATAATAATAGTAATGCTACTAGCAGTAATAATGATCTTTCACAGATAATGATGCGAAATCTAACCTGTTCAACAGGTATCTCTACTACAGTCGGTGTTACAACACCAACACCATCATCGTCGTCATCATCATCAGCATCAACAACAACAACAGCAGCAGCAACACCAACAGCATCGAATTCTGGACAAATGAATACATCAAATACCAGATCGAATAGTACATTTTTATTTTAACACTTTGATGATGCAACGCTTCACTTGTTATTGCGTTTTTCTTTTTTGTTTTTGTAAATGACCTGTGTATCTATCAATCAATCAATCTTTCATATATTGCAAAATTTAAGAAATTAATATATATTTCACATTTAGGATTCATCTCGTGCTGTAAATTGATTAATTAATTAATTAATTACCCTTCATTCAGTCAATTTTTGTTTTTGTAAAAGATTTATTCACACACACACACACTATGTCCACCCACCCACCAACAGCTTATTTGTTTCTCCTGGTTATGTAACATATTTCATGCGGTGTGGTCACTAATGTTTCTTGGTCATTTCGCTCATAAATTTCTTTCAACACACTGGTTACTCATACAAATAGTACAAAAGATGTTTTTGACAAATTGTTCGTTCATGACTGTTTGTCTTATGTCTAAATAGGAAAAGCTTTTTTATTATTTAATTAATAAATTAATTTTCACGCTGAATTTTTCTTCAATATTTTGATTCTTTTTGTTTAAATATTTATATTTATATTGCTGTTATTGCTATTCGGTTATGTCTGCATATGGATATGTAGAGCTGTGGCTTCTTAGTCTATATGTGGGCGGTCAAAGCAGTATCACACAATAGGTGTAGCTGATCGCCAACGGAGTAGAAATGCAAGTGATTGTTGATGCAGGATAGTAGGTCAGCATTTCCTAAAGGCTGTGTGCGTATGTGTGTGATACACCTTATTTTAAATAAATTCTTAAAACTGATATAGGCTCTAATCACGTGTGAATACATTTAAATGTCGATGCTTATAACATCTTAGTTTCATGCATAATTAGTTATGCAATAAAAGTTAAACTAATTGACTTTTGTACTTATAACTCAATCCTCTGTTCAATGGTCGTTTTTCTTCCTGCCTCACTGTCTATTGAAGCATGAAGGCTTACATTGTTACGTTTATAATCGTGACAGAAAATATGCTTGCAATGAAAGTTGTGAATATAATATATAATTTTGTGAAATAGTGACTTCAGACTAAGTTCCGAATAATTTCGTGCTTTCTTCAGGTTGAGTTAGTGACTGATTTCCATACATGGCAGTAACAAAAACTCTTAATCAATATTATGCAAGAAGAATAAAGTGTCATAGTACAACAAATAACATACTGAAAGGTAGTGTTATTCAAGAAATATGATATTAAATACTCTCCTTTCAAAAGCGAGGTATATTAGGACCGATTTGAACTGTGTGCCGTAGTATGAAGAAAAAGTAATGACAATATAAAAATGGCTCTCTTCCCGTATTTCAGTTGCTATTATTATTATTATCTTATTATTGTTCCCTTGGGTTCCTAGTGGAACATAGGGCTTCAACTGCACGTCTCCACTTGCTTCTGTCTTCTGCTGTGCTTTTCGCTTGCATCCATGTTAGTCCATGCTGTTTCAACTCCTCTTCACACGATCTCCTCCATGTCATCCTTGGACGTCCCACTCGCCGCTTCCCTTTCGGGTTCCACTCGAGGGCCTGACGCGCGATGTCACCCAACGAGTGGCCTCCTCAGCGAGTGTCCAATCTATCTCCACTTTCACCTGCATATTTGTTGAGCGATTGGTTCTTGTTTTGTTTGTCCCCATAGCTTCTTGTTTGTGATTCTTTCCGGCCATCTCATCTTGAGTATAGAGCGAAGGCAGTTGTTGATAAAGGTCTGCAACAGGCTGTTGGAAATATTCTTTGTGACACACTGGCCAAGTTTCTAATCCGAATAGCAAAACTGACGTGACGTTTGTATGAAAATCCGAGTTTTGTTGTTGATGCTGAGTGACGAAGATTTCCAGATTGGTTTCAGGTTGATGAATGTGTTTCTCGCCTTCCCGATTCTCGATTTGACATCCTCGTCCGTCCCTCCTGTAGTTGAGACAATGCTCCCTCCCTAGATAAGTGAATGAAGTGACCTCTTTCAAATCCCTCCAGTTGATGGTGATTGGCGCTGGATGTTGCTGCTGCTGTTGTTGTTGTTGTTGGTTGGTTATTGTCATAATCTCCGTCTTGTTTATGTTCACCTGGAGTCCTGTCCTCTCTGGCTGCTTCTTCGACCAGTTTGTCGGTTTTCGCTTGTAAGTCTTCGATTTTGTGTGACATCAAACATAAATCATCCGCGAAATCCAGGTCTTCTAGGTTCTTCACGTCGGTCCAGGATATCCCTGTCTTCTCGTTTCCCACTGTCTGACGCATAATCCAGTCCACCACACTTAGGAATATCATTGGTGATAATAAACACCCTTGTCTGAATCCTGTAGTTACTCCAAAAGCCTCGCTGAGTTTTCCGTTGTGGATCACTTGACATGTGCTGTTGTCGTATAGCTGCTGAATAAGGTTGATGAATATTTGGGGTACGCCGTAGTACTCGAGTAGTTTCCAAATTAATTAGCAGTCAATGCTGTCGAAGGCCTTCTCAAAGTCTGTAAAGTTGAGGTAGAGGTTTGATTGCCATTCCATGCTTTGTTCCCTGATGATGATGCGTAGAGTTGCAATTTGGTCAGAACATGATTCGCCTTTCCTGAATCCAGCTTGTTCTGGTCGAAGTTCTGCATCCAGTGCGTCCTTTATTCTCTCCAGAATGATGTTACTCAGAATTTCACTTGGCGTCTACAGGAGCATGATTCCTCGCCAGTTCTTGCAGAGTCCTAAGTCGCCTTTCTTTGGTAGTTTCACGAGGTAACCTTTTCTCCAGACAGTAGGCACCTTTCCCTCCTTCCAGACATTTTGCAATAATGGAGTCAGCATATCCGCTGTCGTCTATGGATCCTCTTTCAGGGGGTATTCCATCTGGTCCAGCTACTTTCCCAGCTTTCACAAGCTTGATTGCATTCAAGACTTCAGCTTTCGTTGGGGGATTGGTGTCAACTTGCAGCTGTGTACGTGCTGTTGTTGGTATTTCTGGACGGGTTGTAGGTGGTGGTCGGTTCAAGAGTACTTTGAATTGGTCCGCCCATTGTTTAATCTGTCTTCCTTGGGTTCCCTTGGCTGTCTTTTATAGGTTTCACTTGTGTTGGTCTCTTCCCTGATAGAGACTTGGTTATCTGATATAGTGTCCTCAGGTCCCTTTTGCCTGCTGTCTTCTCAACTTCAGTGGCCAGATTGTCGTAGAATTGTCTTTTGTCCTTCCTAGCACTCTTCTTCACTTCTTTGTCCAGTGCTGTGTAAGTTGAGCTCAGCGTCTCTTTCGCTTGTCCATCTTTGCATTGAATCATTTTCTCTTCCACCATTCTCCTCTCCTCTATTAGCTTCCAAGTGTCCGTTGAGAGCCATTCCATGTCTTGTTTCTTCTTTCTTCCTAAAACCGTTGAACACGTTTCGTTGAAAATCACCTTCAGAGAGTTCCAATGGTCTTCCGCGGATGATTCCTCAGTGGTGCCATGTAGTGTTTCCTGCTTTGCTCTGACAGTTGCAGTGAAAGTGTCCCTTGTGGTTGTGTCTTTCAGTTTTTCCGTGTTGAACTTGCATTGTGGCCTATCCCCAGCTATCCTCGAGGCTTTCAGCTTCACCTTGAAAGTCCCTTGTACTAGATAGTGGTCTGAACCCACATCTGCTCCTCTTTTCGATCTTGTGTCCAGTAGGCTTCATCTCCACTTCCTTGAGATTGAAATGAAGTCTATCTGGTTTTCGGTGTGTCCATCTGGTGAAATCCGTGTTGCCTTGTGTATACCCCTGTGTTTGAACACACCGTCACCAATCACCAAATCATTGAAGGCCCAGAAGTTTGAGAAGAGTTCACCATTGTCGTTCATTTCACCGAAGGCCTCACGACCGATGGTGAATTCTCTTCCTGTATTGTCTCCTCCCAGTTTCGCATTAATGTCACCCATCAGGATTTTGATATCGCTCTTTGGGACGTTGTCCATTACTGTTTGTAGTTGACTGTAGAAATCCTCCTTCTTCTCTTTTTCTGAGACGTTTGTAGGCTCATAGCATTGACTGATTGTAACCTTTCTTCCTTTTGAGTTGAACCTAGCTGTCATTATCCTGGAGGAGATTGGTTCCCACTGCATGAGGGCTTTGGCTGCTGTCGGTGACATCATGATGGCCACTCCCTCGGTGTGCTCGTGGTTGTCCTCTGGGTGACCGGAATAGATTACTGTCTCACCAGTTGACAGTTGGAATCTTCCAGATCCGTTCCATCTGCTCTCGCAGATTCCCAACACTTCTATTTTCTATCTTCTCATTTCTGCGGCTACCTGGGCAGCCTTTCCGGTTTCGTGCATTGTTCGAATATTCCACGTCCCCATCCTTATTTTTGCTTTCATCGAAAGAAGGCACATCGGCTGACTGGCTTCCCGAAGGGTTTCACCAGCCTGCGTCATTTCACTTCCCCGATTCCAGCGGGAAATAAGGTTATTGCTTATATTTTTAGTATTTTTAATATATTTGTGTGTTGAAGTTTCTGTAGCGATTTGGTTATGTTTTGGGGGTGGAGTTGCTAGCACCACGCCCAAACCCTCCCTCTTTATCTGGGCTAGGGGTCGGCTAGAAAACTAGCGAGCTAGTTATCTAGGTGAGGTTATTTCAGTTGCTGTAGGAGTGTTATTCCATTACAAAAACTTCATCTTATCCCAAGACCGTAAGATTTCGGTTTTACCACAAATGTTCTGGTTAGTGTTGAGTGGAAATCTATCATATGATAATTGATACCTGGCGTTCTGACTGGAACAGAGGAACATCTCCATTCCTTCCCATTCTCTGCCATTACTTTCATCTGGAGCCATGATTACCCATAGGATTCTGTCCCCTCTCAACATGATCTTCACAATATCACCCTCCGAAGCCCAAGTATTTCCTCCTTGTTCAGGTCCCACTCAAGGTTAGGATGTGTGATGCCATTCAACGGTCTCCTGCCAGTATGTCCTACCCATCTCGCTTTCGCTCTGAACATTTATTTGTGGACAGGTAGTTTACTGGAATACCGTCTCCAACAGCTTTTTGTTGGTCATCTTTTCTTCAATATCTAAGAATCAAAGAAAGGGCTGTTTCATGTAAATCTTCAGTATTCAGTTGGAAATGCTCTTAGTTATGCGCCACATTCCTGAACAATGTAGAAGCACTCGCTTCATAAAACTGTTAAAATTTCCAAAATATTTCGTATTGCTGTGTGTGATGACTGGACTGGACCAAATCCTAGCTCCATGAAATGGAGTGTAGTGGTAAAGTGTCTTGACCACTTGTCACATCAAAACGAACTGCATTTCCATCCTCTTCTGCTTTAATTCCTCCAGCCTATGTTTCATTTCATATAAATTAGTTAGTTCAGAATTTGATCGATCTCCAATAAGCAGTAATTTTGATGCTAGGTATCTTGATACCTCATATGTCGGGGCATTCCTGAAAGGCTGCACTGAGAGCTAAAACTAATAACCCCAGTAGAAGGTATGGGATTATTACAATTCTTACAACGAGATAGAGTTATACTTGACATCTATCTCACCAAATATAACTGTGATGGAGTCTCTGATTATCCCCGTA